CCAGTCTGCCACTCGAGAGCCCTTTCTCGCAACGATACAAAGGAATATAGTATGGCAACCGACGTGAGTAACTACGGCCTTATCTTTGGCCGATATGGATTCATTATATTGACAAACGGCGTCCAGGACCGGACGAAAGTTTTCCGCAGTACAATAGTGTACGAGGCTGATCAAGACACCACTTAAAACTGACTCCGATAAGGCACTTTGTTCTAGGTTTTTAACGCCTACAGCCTTCATTAGGCATCGAAGTATGTCAATGCCGTTAGAGTGAACGGCACTCTTGATGCCCTTGGTCGCATCTGCAAACATAGCCATGAGACCCTCCTGGTAGGCCGTGACCTGGCGTCCTTCAGCACTGGCCTTAGCCAGATCCTCGAGCAAGAAAGTTACTGCACGTTCGAGAGGTTTTTTGTCCTTGTAGTAGATCGCTGCAGCTTTACGGATAAGAAATGAAACTGACTCCGCCGCAAAACGAGAAACAAAGTGCTTCTGGTGCTCCTTTCCAAGATACTGTGTCATTATGGCCAGTAGAGGTCTGAGGTCTGGTACAAGAAGGCGTGAGAGAAACTTGAATATCCAGGCCAGACAGGTAAAGCTCCATTCTATAACATCGATGCTCTGATGGGTGGCCGCAACAGCAGCAATCAATTGAACAGCGGCTGCGAAGTGCTTCTCAAATCTTGACCCAAGATCCCGCGCGAACTGTGCCATCAAACTTAGAAGCGGCTCCATACTCAATTCGTCCTTCTTCTCAATATATTCCACCAACAGGCCCATTATCGCATCTTGGTGGTATAGTACCTGCGGCAGGTTCTCGCATAACCGATCCACACGCTGGACAAAATCTGTAAAATTTTCGGATAGATTGAGCTCCGCCCAATGATCTAGGGAGGCTCTAAAGCAGGATGAAGTCTCGTCATCATCATCTTCGCCAAAGGTCGTCCGGCGCACTCGATGGACAGGGTCGATCTTGAGCTTCAGGACGCGCTGGGAGAAGGGCTCCCATCGGTGGGATTTGGTAGTTGCAGTGCCGCCTTTCTGCAGCCTCGGAGGCTTGCTCCGCTGACTCGAGGACGCTGCAACCATCGTGGTCCAGCTGCGACCAACTCGACTTCACTGTCGCTTCAATGTTGAATATCGAAGCTCTGACAATCTTCTTTTTTTTTTTTTTTGGATCTATGAATTTTTGATATCGATTTTAACTTTCGGCTTATCGGAAAATGTGATATTACGGCTGACTAATTACTTAGTAATAATAATTTTATTATTCAGCAAACCTTACTTCAGCTGCCATCTTAATTGTGATGTTAGACTTCAAGGAAGAGAACGAACGAACTTGATGTGAGAGGGCGACAGCAATTGCGGACGGGGATATGGCATCCAAAGTGTAAGCTTGAGACTGGAACTGAAAATACTTATTAGACTGATTGATGCTAACATATATACATAGCATTGTGGTCGGAGGGGTGAACTCATCCTTTCGAGAGGTGTTTGGCAAGCTCGAGAAGCTGCAGGCCAAACAACAATTTGCATGTGCCATTATCGCAGGAGATCTTTTTGGGGAGCTTTCTACAGGAAACTCCAAGGGTGATCTCAGTGCATTGCTTCGCGGAGTTATTCAAGTAGCGTTGCCTACCTATTTCACAGTTGGGAAGAACGGCATCCCGGATGAAGTGGCCGAAAAGCTGACGAAGGATGATGAAGTCTGTCCAAATCTCTTCTACCTAGGAAGACGAGGAGTACTCACCACGTCAGAGGGTATTAAAATTGTTGCTCTTGGCGGTATTTATGGACCGCTGCCTCCAGACACTAGTGTGAATGAGAAATATCTTCCATATCATACAGAGGCTGATGCTCAGTCGCTGTATTCAGCAGAGAAGGCTGATATTCTCATAACCTATCAATGGCCAAAAGGAATTGAGAAGGGCTCAAAAGTCCCTACAGGCGAAATCATGACGGAGGGCAGTCAGTGCGTTGCGAATGTCTGTTTAGCGTTGAAGCCTCGCTACCAGTTTTCGTCGGCTACAGACACATTCTACGAACGGGAACCTTTTTTTCATATTCCAGAGGATGAATACACCGTAGAAAAACACATCACGCGGTTTATTAACCTAGCCCCATTTTCCACTACATCAAAACAGAAGTGGCTATATGCGTTTACCCTGGATCCAAAGAGTGTTCTGCCCACTTCAGTCCCAGCCGGGACGACAATATCTCCCCTCACCGCAGTAGCAAGGGGGCGCGGTCCGTTACCTAGCCAAAAAGCATCATTTACACGCTTTAGGCAAGACGATGGTCAGCAACGGCCCGCTAAGCGAGCAAGAAAAGCTGCTCCTGGTCCGTCAGAATGCTTCTTCTGTCTCTCAAATCCTAACATCGCATCTCATTTAATCGCATCTATTGGAAATGACACATATATTACAACTGCAAAGGGGCCACTGCCAACGGCATCTACCTTTCCGGCTCTGGGATTCCCAGGCCATATTCTCATAATACCATTGATCCACGCACCATCTCTCGCGTCGATAGAGGACCCAGAGTCTAAATCAGCTACCTATGCAGAAGTCCAGAAGTACCGATCGACACTTCACTCAATGCTTCAAAGGAGGGCTGACGTGGCTTTAGGCGCCGTCACTTGGGAAGTGAGCAGGGGTCGTGGCGTGCATATTCACTGGCAGTTTATGCCTGTCGATGCAAGCTTGGTTCGCCGTGGTCTTGTTGAAGCTGCATTCAAAGTCGAAGCCGAGAACCTGGAATACCCAAAACTCGAAAAACGGGAGTCTAGCTGTGATGAGCCGGACGATTATTTCCGGGTATGGATCTGGGCTCCTGGGCAGGCAGTAGAAGGAGACGCTACCGGGAGCGAAACAACACTAGTTCTTCCGCTAAGCGACAGGTTCCGATTCGATGTCCAGTTCGGCCGGGCGGTGATGGCCAAATTGCTAGGACTGGAGGACCGGTTGAACTGGCGAGACGCGTCGCAGTCAGTGGAGGAAGAGAAGAAAGACGTTGAAACTTTCAAGGGGGCATTTAAAGAATTTGATTTCACTGTCTGAAGGCTAATGTTGATATTCTCCTTTATAGATACCCAACCTCTTTTCAATCTGTATTAATATACATTGTTTATAGCTAAATGTCAACATTTGTTGTGTGGGAAATAAAGCAGAGTTCCAAAAAGGGAAGCCGCACCAAGCTTTCGATGTTATTCTCTATGAAGTCATCAACATGAACTCTCAACATCAACTTCGACATCGACTGTTCCTTTTGCCTCCACAACTAGCAGGCGGGTTCTAGATACCAAGACACATGAAATCATTGACTTGAAACATCCGCTAGTGGCTATACTCACGCTCCTACACACCCACTTATATATATACATATTCACCATCATGCCTTCCAGGATGCGTGCACTCTCCGGCTTCTCCTCACGAACAAGCAAACGGCGCAGTCTACTCCGTCGCAAACGCAAACCCCGAATAAACTCAAATACTTCATCATCGGACTCTTCAGCGGACATCGCTGTCAGCGGCTCGGGACACGCAGAAGCAGCACTCACGTCCCTGTTCGCAGCAACCTCACTCACCCGAGTTTCCTCGAGGAATTTTGATATCGTCAAAAAGATGACCCAAAAGAACAGCATTCCCGATTCCTTTAGCGAGACGACGCCGGCTACCTTTGCCGGCAGTCTGGGTACAACCGATATCAACAGCATCAACAAAACAACAACAGCAAGCAAGGCTGTGACGGCCGAAAAGCTGTCAGATCTGCCCCCACCAGCCCAGATAGAATATGGAGCTCTACGCGGGCAATGCCCTAGCTTGCCTGCAGACCCAGGTCTACATGCTGGCATCCTGCTCCTTGTAACTGACTGCGCCGGCGAGGTGAAGCTTGGAAAATGTGATGGAGAGCCTGGATGCGAGACTCCCTCCAAGCTGGGCAGTTTGAAGAGAAGGGCGAATACAAATTTTGGGGACTAGAAGGTGATCGATCCTATCATCGAGTGTTTCATTCCTTCTGCACAGTTGCATATCAGAAGACTTCCTTTTCTTTTTTGTACTCACCTTTTGGTCGCTCGTTTCAATGCAATTTATTATTTACCACTCTACTACCCGGTCTCCATATATAGTTAAAAGCGGTCTGTATAGATCTCAATCCTAGCTCGATAACTCGAATGGCAGCTTGTCCGACCTGCATGCAAGCAACATCCCGCGCCAATAATTGCTTATTCTCCCGGATTTCCTGTGCAGGCCTGGTTCAGAACCTCCACGGCTAGCTGGCCATTCAGGGTGGTCACAAAATCTACGTTTCAACCAAGCTCTTGCGCACACAGCCAGAGCAGAGCCATTCTCCCCCGTTAGAATCAATCGGCCGATTCACCAGTCCCCTAGTGGCGTCTCCAAGGTTGGAATGGCTCGTTACAGGGACAAGAAGCAAAGAAAAATAACGCCGAACGTTGAACATCAAACGCCAAACGGCGGATGAGACGGCCAGCCGAAGAGGGCTCCCAGGCCTGATGGGCGCTGCAAGACCAGGCAGAGAAGCCTGATGTCGATCACCGCGAACAGTTTCTTCCTTGGTTTCTCCTCGGCACTGCTCCTGTGTAGCTCTACTTATACACCACCTGGACACCACGGGGCAGTCATTTCTCTTGCCGAAGCCTTTTGCCGGGATGCGGATGCTCGCTGGCTGGAAGGATGTTTCATTGCTCTCATGCAGGACAGGCAGGGATAGTGAACAGCGAGAACAGTCACAGCGATTTTTTTTTTCTATGTGACCGGGCAATCAAGCATTAACTATTGTAAGGCAAACTGGACTGATGGGGCCTCCGGCGGGTCAAGGCTGGCCCGCTAATGCTGATATATCGGATATTATACGGAGTAACCGCATACCAAGTACGAAGTATATATATACGTCTAGCTGCTGACTGCCTCTAGATTTGCATATGGCAGAGCTCTCAAATAGATGCATGAACTGCTACAGGCAATCGTGCGAACACAATGGGCTGCGATATCAAGAATTCCGTTGTTGAGGCTGAGGCCGCTCTGCCCTTACCACCGCCCGGAGCAGGCGAGCCGGATACAGAAACGGACATGGAGGTGAAGCGGGAAACTGATGGAGGAAGTGTTGATACGGAAACGTATCCAGAGGGGGGCCTCAAAGCATGGCTTAACATGCTGGGGGCGTTTTGTGCCATGGCCTGCACATTTGGCTGGATCAGTACGTTCGGGTTAGTTATCTTCCCCTAGCAGGGCGTTTGGTAGATGCATTCAATGGCTAACAGGACTATGTAGGGTCTTTCAGGCATACTACCATACACACTTGCTAAAAGAAAACACCCATTCCCAGATAGCCTGGATAGGGGGGCTGCAGGCCTTTTTTATTTGCACTACAGGCCTGATATCTGGCCCCCTGGTGGATAGATACGGTCTCAAAGTGAGTAATGTTCAAATCTACATCCTGTTCAATCGTCTAGTTGTAGGGGGAAACAAAAGTCTAACGCCCAGATAACTAGCCTATATTGATCCCCTTTTCGCTCCTGGCTCTGCTATCGGTGATGATCACCTCCATCTGTGAAGAGTACTATCAGTTCATTCTCACACAAGGCGTACTAGGCGGTTTCAGCGTGGGGATGCTGTATACTCCATCCATTTCAATTATGGGTCACTACTTCCACCGCCGGCGCGATCTAGCCATCGCCGTCGCCTCCGCCGGCTCGCCCCTGGGCGGAGTGATATTCCCCATCGCCCTGCTTCAGATGCTGGAACACTCCTCTATCGGATTTGGTTGGGCTGTGCGGGGAGTTGGGCTGATATTTCTTTTCTTCCTCTGCATTGCCTGCGCTACACTAACGCCCCGAGTGACTCCGCGGCGAGGACCGCACTTCCTCTCCGCCGCGTTCAGGGACCCGGTGTATGTGTCTCAGCTGGTTGGTTACTGTTTGGTGTTCTGGGGCATATACACTCCCTTTTTCTTCCTGCCATCGTTCGCCATTCTGCAGGGTGTCAGCGTCGATTGGGCCTTTTATATACTGCCCATCTACAACACCGGCTCGTTTGTGGGACGCATCGTGTGTGGTCGTCTAACCACCATCTGTGGTCGGTTCAACACCTTGCTGGCAGCCATACTCGTTTCGGCCGTGTTGATGTTTTCCTGGATTGCTGCAACGTCGCTGGCGGGCATCATTGTGTTTGCTGTGCTATTTGGCTTCTCGTCCGGGGCTATCATTGGTCTCTTCCCCGCTGCAGTGGCTGTGACTGCGCCGAGAGCAAACCAGATCGGAACGTACCTGGGCATGACGATGGGGGTGCTCGGACTGTTTTGTCTGACCAGTTCGCCGATGATGGGCGCCATCGTGACCCGGTCCGGCGGCCAGTATGACGAGGCGATCATTTTTAGCGCTGCCCTCATTGCTGTGGGAGGGAGCTTGATTGTGTTTGCTAGGGTGAAGCATTCCGGCTGGAAACTGATTGCTTGATGGCTTCATTTTGATGTTGATAGCATTTTTCTTTCTTTCTTTCTTCTTTCTTTCCTTTAGCATATTTTTAATAGGTGCATGGCAGGGAGTTAGAAATGGGGGTTATCCGGCATGCACTGCACATAGTAAATAGCTGCGCAAAGGGCAAAAAAGGGACAATTCAAGGGACAATGGTTAGACATCGAATTAGATTGTTAAGTAAGTCATGATATAGACCTGGAAGTAAGCAGGTAAGCATCCAAGCATCCAATCAACCCAGCAAACGTATGGCCACCCAATGCCCCAGTCAAGTTCGTTACCCATGTAAAGGGGGGGAGAAAAACATGAAAAGTAAACAGTAGACAGCTCATCAGCGTATCTATAGAGAAGAAAGAGAAAAGTGAGAAGAAGAATATACACCACAACAGGAATCCGAACCGGGATATAACCAAACATATCAACAAACGAGTAGTAGTAGCCATCACAGCATGAAAGAAAAGTAAGATGGAAAAAAGCCAAAAGGCAAAAAGGTAATCAAAGGGAAAAAAAAAAAAAAATAAAATAGAATAGAATAAAAAGGTAAACTATACATCTCTCCAGGAGTTCTCTACGGGTTTCCTTCCGGCCATCAACAAGCTAGGAGCTCGCGGTGGCTGTGATGTCGACTGCTCTGCCTCCTGTGGCTGGTCTGCACCCGACCCCTGTCCGTTCCAAAGAGGAGGTGGTGTTGACGTCGAGGGTGAATAAGGAGTGTATGTCCTCTGTTGCTGAGCGGGAGAGTAAGATCTTGAGGTAGGGTAGGGTAGTCCGGTATGTTCTGGACTATATGTATTTACAGGCGATAGCTGTGGCCTAGGCGATGGTGTGCCCCTGATATGCTGGACGGGAGACCGAGTGAAGCTGCGACTGCCCCCGTTTGGATGTGTGTAGCCATATGCATCACCTGCGCCAGGAGGAGAAGGAGTAGCGATGCCGATGGTTGAAGGGGACTGAGTGTTGTATCGTGGTGGGGCGTATATTTGGCCTGACGTCTGCTGATCCTGCTGGGAGTCATGGTATATGTTTGACAGTGGTGCCGGGCCGCAGCCCGGTGAATGTGCTATGCCGATAGCAGTGGGAGGGATGGAAGGGCTGATATGACCCTGATCCAGGCCGCGGTATCCTCCACCCATGTTCATGTTCATGTTCATGGACTGTGAGTGACGGGGGTGGTGGTGGTCTGGCGGGTAGATAGGTGAGACGGGTTGTGCGTGTTGGTAATAAGCCGACCCGTGGGCTGCTCCCGGGTCATCTACTACGCTGTGCCCCGTGACAGGGTTGAGATGGGACATTTCCATCTCCTCGTTGTGGTGGGATGTGTCCTCCACACGTCTGGTGGTGGCATCTTGCCAGGTAGGCATGTTGGGCAACGCATCATCGTTGACTCTGGCAGTCGAAGTGGGCACTGTGGGCGCGGGACGGGATCCCAGGGTATCGAACTGTGCGTAGCTGGGGGTTGAGCTGGCGGCCTGGGTATTGTATACTGGCGGCGCAGGACGCTGGTAGCCGGAGTAGTCGTCTGCGAACTTGGACCGGCTGTCGTAGGCGGGTGCTGGCGGTGGTTTGCGAGAAGAAGAGGAAGACGGACAGCAGCAGGAGCAGCATTCACAGCACCCCTTGCAGCAGGTGTAGCCGCAGCAGATGCAGCCCACGAGACACCAGACGACGCTGAGCAGGATGAGGCCGCCGACGATGATTCCAACGATAGCAGGCCATCTACAAATCGCCAATTAGTATATATATAAACATAGATATCAGATATCCGAGAAAGAAGAAGGGAGACCGACTTGCAGTAGCTTTTGGCCATACACTTGTCCCAGGAGGAGAATGTGTCCTTGACGTCTCCGGTGATGCCTCGCGGCGCCAGCTGGTGCCACGGCGTAAACTCGAGCGGATCCATGGTGATAGCTAGCAAGTGTCTTCTTATCTAGCTCCTCAGTCTATCGGATCTATGGCCCGTTATCGAGATGCGTCCGCTATCGAGGGATCAAGCGGTCTATCGTGGTCTATAGCGAGGGGTGTATAAGGCGAGGGTGAATCGAGAGACGCAACATGGGACCGGGAATCAGCAAGAGTGAGTCCCCTGGAGTAAAATCTAGCCGGCGATTCACGCTGGCTTGCCCCAGAGACCGAATGGGCGATGGTTCGTGAGACCGAGAAGGCGTAGATAGTTGTGGCCGCAGTGGTGGTGTGGTTCGGCTGGGTTGTTGGTTAATTAGTGAGCGGAACAGCAGGCGGCGAGCAACGAGGCACCAAGACAGGCGGCGAGAGCAGCACGAGCGAGCGACAGTTGTCCTGGACGGCGAATGCAAGTCGTAGTTGTAGTTGTAGTGGTAATTGTAGTTGTGGTCGTGGATGTGGATGTGGATGTGGATGTGGATGTCGGTGTCGAGGCGGACTGAGGCCCTGCGCAGCCTCGAGATGTTCGACTAACTAACGAATTTTCCTGCGCTAAGGACGAGCCAAGGCCGCGTTCCTTGAGCTAAAAAAAATCTGGTTATTATTGAACTTACGACGACGACGGACGATGACGGCAAGCTTGCGCCACGCTGGGCCGCGAGGAGTGGAATTACGGAACACGGATCATGGGTGGCCACGATGGTTTATTTTATTAGGATTATTTACTACTGGCACAGGCGGACATAGAGCATGAGACGTGAATAGTGATAGGCATACGGAGTAACAAGGGGAACCAGAAAACAGACAGCCGACGAAAGGAAGAAAATGAAAGAAAAAAAAAAAAAAAAAGGCAGGAGAAAAAAAGGCTAGGGATCATCAGCCCTTCTGGCCGGGGTAGTTCTGCCCGTAGGCATTGGGAGGCTGCTGCAGCTCAACGCCGGTCTGCTGGGGGGCATAGTAGTCCTGAGCAGCTCCGTACTGCGGCGGCGGGCTCTGGACGCCGCTCTGGTGCTGCTGAGGATACTGCTGGGGGGGATACTGCTGCTGCTGCGGCGCCTGGGGGTACTGCTGCTGCTGGGGGTACTGCTGGGGATACTGCTGCTGCTGGTACTGCGGCTGATGCGCCTGCTGGCCCATGCCAGCCCATCCCGTGCCCCTGAACGGCTGCAGGCCCTGACGACGTCGACGACGGGCAGATATGCATCTAGGCAAGTTAGCACGGAGCAATTACACACAGACGGAAGCATACGGGATAGATAGATGGGATAGACGGATGGGCGGATGATAAAAGGAGTTGACTCACGCAAAGAGGAGGAAGAGGAAAAAGGCGCCGACGACGAGGACGACGAGGACGACCCAGCGGCCCCAGCGATTCCACGGCGACGAGTAGTAGTAGCCGCCGTTGTAGTAGCCGCTCGAGCTGTGCGCAGTCTGGTCAGCTAAACTTGTCTCTGTATACCCATCTCGCTATAGGCGGCGTATGTATATGGGGACGGGGTGGGCGGCGACTCACTAGTATCTCTCTGCGATGACACCCATCTTGTCCGCCCTTGACTGCAAATGCTCGACGCCTGAACTTCTTCTTGTACGGCCCTTTGTGCGGCACAAGTTTAACAATAATATCGATATTCAGCTCGTTCTTTTTATCTCGTCTTTTTTTGTCTTTTTTATATTTATTTTTGAGGCCGCAAAGAAGCCGCAAAAAAAAGCTCGATAATAAAAAAACAAAAAAAAGAGTCGATCGATGGTCTTGGCGTCACGTGAGGCGGAGTTGATGCGATGGAAAGTAGAAAAGAGGAAGAAAGTAGCGGAAAGTCGATGTGAGAGAGAGAGAGAGGAACAAACAGGAGAGAAGACGAGACGCTTTAAAGAGCGCGCGAGAGATGAGGAATATGCAAGGGCGAAGACGGAGAGATACGAGCAAAGCGCAAAGAAAAAGCTGCGCCCTGCAAATGATGACTAAGGCTGAGCCACGATTAGTAAGTGATGCATCATGTGATCTCCACTCTCACGTGAGAGTGACGTAATCAGAGACTTTTGAAGGCAAGAAAAAGACAAGAAAAGACAGGAAAAAGACGAGAAAAAGACAGGAAGAAGAAAAGAAGAAGAAGAAGGAGAAGCAAAGATATGAAAGAACGAGAAGAAGGTGGTAAAAGTCAGGTTAAGGAAGGTTGCAGTGTTTGGAGGGAGTGAGAGTCTCTCTGGTACGGAGGGTCCAGGAGCTTCATTTTTGATCGGCAGGCTACGGAGTAACTTATGACGGTCGATGAGTCTGAAAGAAGACGAGCTGGATATAAGGAGAAAGACACACGAGAAGAGACGAGATCATCTCCAGAGAGCCAGGGGTTCCTGCAGCTCTGGCTGAGCCAACCACTCGCTGAGCTGCTTTTGCAGGAACCAGCCAGGGGGAGGGCCTGCTCTGCTCTGCTCTGCTCTGCTCACCTCGACTTCCCCCTTATCCACCACTGACGAAGTACTCCATCTCCTGTTCACTTTTGCTTCTACTTCTTCTACTTCTTCTACTTCCTTTGCTTCTGCTACTTCTATTCTGCTGTCCTTCTGTAGTCCATCTCGGTGTCATAAGTTATAGAATGACTAAGCAAATACTCCACTCCCATTGGCCAGTTCACCATGCAACGCCAGCTCATCGCCAGCTCAGCATAAAAAAGAGTCCGAGACGAGCAGACGAAAGATGTAGAAAAAGGGGGGAGCAGACGGAGGAAAAGAGACCGTAGAAACTGGATTAAAGCGAGGATAGTATTACACACAGCATGCTCCGAAAGACAGGACAACAAACATAACCAAGGAAAGGCAGACGACAGCATGGTCAACGGCTCGACCGCGCGATGAGCCACCGCAGCACGGCGTCGAGGTTGGTCTCTTCCTTTGCGCTGATGCCGTAGCAGCTCACCTCGCGCTTCGTGATGCTCTTCAGCTCCATCGCGTCGATCAGCTCGTCGACGCTCAGCACGTCCGGCAGGTCGGACTTGTTGCCCAGCACCAGCAGCGGGATGCCCTCCAGCGTCGGCTTGCTGACCAGGTCGTGCAGCTCGTCCGTCGCCGCCGGCAGGCTGGCCCTGTCTGCGGCATCCACGATGTATCTACCGCCGAGTTAGCTTCTTCTTCTTCTTCTTCTTCTCCTTCCTTCGGGTTAAGGATGACATACACAATGGCGTTGACTCCGCGGCAGTATCGCTCCCACATCGGCCGGAAGCGAGGCTGGCCTCCCAGATCCCAGCTGCTCTAGTCAGTCAGTTCATGCCATGCTCATCGTCTTATCTCTCTCTATCAGAACAAACGGGGGAGCTTCTTCAAGAAGACTGACCATTTTAGCGTGACATGGCCCTTTTGCACTCGTTTGGTGTTGAAGCCGATGGTGGGTATAGAGCTGTCAAAAAGACACAAAACGTTGAACGAAACAGTCAGTAAACACACGATATTCGCCACCGTCGTACACACCAGCCCGGAACATCGACAAACTACTCACTCGACAGTGAACTCGCCGCCCTAAAAACACACTAAGTCAGCATTTTTTATTTTTCTCCCTCTAAATCTTTTCCCCTTTTTCTTCATCTCGACGTCAAGCTTACCGCCAGCACTCGCAGAAGAGACGACTTCCCGGCGTTCTGCAGGCCTACCATAGTCACGTCCATCTCCGTCGCCCTGCCGTCCCCGTCGTCAGCGCCATCGGTTCTTCGACCGTTTTCTCCCATGAGCAACGAGGTAAAAGACGTACCAGAACATCCTCAGCAGCCAGTCATAAATACTCCGAAAGAAGCCCTGCATCATGATGGTGGCCGTACCCGTACACACCGCACCACAAACACAGCACGCTCGTTCGTTCACACAACTCTCTCGACTCCCACGCACACACACTCTCTCCTCTTCGTGCGCACAACACCAGCCTTTAGCTGGTGGGTTCAGCAACTAGTTAACTGAACTAGTCTAGCCGAGGCCGATCCGAAGGCGAACAACACTCGAGGGTAAATAATAATAATAAAGAAGTAAAAAGACGGGTACTTAAAATAGATGCAGGCTGGAGCCCGTTAGGCCGGACAAGTGCGTACGATGGAGACTCCCCAGACTTGGGCTGCTAGTACTGTTAGACCAGGTGAGATGCTTGCCGTAATTAATAGATAGATAGTAGATACGTTGATGGCCTCAAGGGGGTTTGGTTCAAGCAAGAGGAATAAGAAGAAGATGAAGAAGAAGAAGAAGAAGAAGAAGAAGAAGAAGCCGGACTAGAAAAGAAGAGAAGATGAAAGGAAAAAGAAAAAACAGTCCCAAATAATAGATTGGCCGTTAATAATGTAGTTATTTTATGCCATGGAAGACAGATCCAGATAATCCCCAAGAAGCGTTGATACGGTCTGGATAACGGCAGAGCTCGAGATGTAGTTATACAGTTATGTAAACGTCCGCCAGGCTGATGTCAGGACAGAGACAGTCCCAGAACCACGGGCTACGTCGGAGTATTCGACCTGCCGGCCAACTTGTCTGAGGGTGATAAATCGTTGAAACTAGTGATTTTTATATATATTCTGTGGCACTTTGCAAGTGTCAGAAGGGTTTGTGTTATGAGGTAATAGACGCTGCGTTAGTTAAAATAGCCACTTAGCCGCGCAGCTCTGACCACTCGATGACCTCAAACGACTCCCATGGCTGGACAACTAGTTAGCTGTTCTACGATAACCATGTTCAGGATGGCTACTAGACGCTGTCGGCCTCTGGTCTCTTCCCGGCTGGATCTCGGTTCGTGTTGTCATACACATGCACGGCCGGAGGAGATGCGGGAATGTCGCCTGCGTTGTATTGCATATGCATCCCCATCCCCATCCCCATCCCGATTTCCCTACGCCTACGCCTAACTCTACACACACCCAAGCTTGCGGCGTCACCGATATTAGTCAAGGTCATTTTCGGGATCAGCGCCATCTTGTTTCCCAGTAAGACCGTATTTGACCTTCATCAATCCATGGATGGTCTCTGCCAGGTTCCCAACGACTCCAGCCTTTCCGATCTCAGCCAGACTAATTTCAAGGCCCATGTTGCGTCTGAACCAGTTTCGCATCTCGATAACCGTGAGAGAATCAATGTTAACGCCCGCCAGCTCGTCCTCGTCCATGTCCTGCGTATGCGCCATGCTCTGTCTAACCATCATCCCCAGCACTCCTTGGAGTATGCTCTTAGACTCTTCGGTGTTCAGGTATGATGCACTCTGTCCAATCTTCGACAACAGCAACTTGACCCCGTTGTTCGCTTCACCGGCAGTTCCGTCATTCCCATTGCCTGCCAGGTTTGAGTATAGCGCAAACCGTGCATCCCTGGCCCATAGTGGGCGTACTCCAGGCTCAGTCAGTGGTTTGGTATTGCCCAGGCCGATGATGCTGGAACTGGACGTCAGGCTGTCTGCTGGTGGGGGGTTGCGGCACTGGTAAATGGCCAGCCGTACTCCTTCGATTAGCTCATTCTCATATATCAGTCGGAGTGAGGTAGATCGAGCATTCTGGAGAGCTGCTTCATTTTCACTTGCCATGCCAATCTCGTCTACTATGCCCAGCTCAAGCACAGATGCAGGCAGCCCCAGCTGGCGCCGGTATTGTGTGAAACTGGTAAGGAACCCGTTAGCAGCCGCATAGTTGGCCTGTCCCACGTTCCCGCAGACGCCAGACACAGAACCGAACAGCACTAAGAATTCTAGGTCCTTCTCGTTCTGCAGAGCCTCATGCAAGTTCCAGGTTCCTTGAACTTTGGTATTGAGACATGTCGTCCAGTCTTCATAGCTCATCTTACTAAAAGTGCGGTCCTAAATCAAGTTAGCCGCCTAGAACAATCTATCAAACCCAAGCAATGAGACATACTTTTAAAACAGTGGACAGCTGGAAAACCCCAGCAAGAGGCTTGGGACACTGAGCAATCGCAGATCTCACGTCTGCTATATTGACCACGCTGCCTGCTACACAGACCGCATGGCAGCCTTGATCTTCCAACTCTCGTATGAAGGCTCGGTCCTTATCCGTTTGCCCTGCGGTTCTTGACAAATATACCAAGTGACGAGCTCCTTGCTCAACCATCCAAGCGGATATAGAACGTCCCAGGCCTCCTAGCCCACCTACCAAAAGGTAAGAGACATCTGGTGAAAACTCTACCGGAGCTTTCACACCTGCCAGCGGGATGGCTGAAAGATCTTGAGGAAGCCGGATCACAATTTTGCCCATATGGGTTCCTTGCTGCATGTAACGGAATGCCTCAGAGACATCTGCTGCATCGTAGACCTTGATGGGCTGGATGGGCTTGAGGCTGCCTTGGCTATACCACTGTTGGAACTTTTCCCCTATCCTGTTGCACTGGTTAGTTTTAATAGTCCACAGACTTCCACAAACGGGCCCTAAGCTTTTTTTTTCTTTCACTTACTGCCTCAAGATGCCATGATCCGCGTTTATCCAATGACCTAGGTCAAATCCTATGAATGAGCGATTTTCCATCATTGGTGCCATATCCAGGCGTCCATTGCTTAAAAAGTCTCGTTTCCCCAGTTCAACCATCTTGCCAAACGGTGCAACACACTGCCACGAAGTGTGTAACAGTTTCCCGGAAAGAGAGTTCAAAACCACGTCAACGCCCCTACCCCCTGTCTCCCTCATGATACCTGGCAAGAAATCTGCATTTCTAGAATTGAATATGTGATGGCGTGGGATGCCAAATTCATTAACGAGGTATTGGACCTTCTCTTCGTTTCCGACAGTGGCGAATATCTAGAATATGATATAGTTGGTTATAAGGTTCGCACACCGCAGCCGGCAGCCTGTCATTTAGAATGGGGCATATTCACATACCTGCGCACCTATCTTCTTGCAAACCTGAATTGCGGCCAGGCCAACTCCCCCACAGGCGGAGTGTATGAGTACCGACTACATGTCGGTTTTTAGTTAGCTATGCAATGGCAATATGGAGCGTTCCATTGCTGCTTACCTCGCCCTCCCTGACCCGAGAAAAGGTTTCTAAGCACATGATAGACGTAAGGTATACGCAAGGTATTGTTGCAGCGTCTTCCAATGCCATCGTATCTAGAATCGGGAGGACCGTATGCGCTGGCTTCACAACCCTCGTGCGGAAGGCACCAGTAGCCAGTACAAACACTCTGTCTCCAGGTTTAAAATCGACAACTCCAGACGCTACCCGACGAACGATACCACTGCCTTCTATACCAAACTCTTTAGGGTCCCCAAACAGGCCGGTCGCTACCATGACATCCTATCATTACAGTCAGCGAGCTGTATTAAAACCCAACAATGCCTTGGGACGACATTAATGTACCCTGAAGTTTAACCCAATGTAATGCATATCAACCTCGATTTCGTCCCCCGTTAACTCTGTGGCATCAGCAAAGGGTTGCCAGTAGAGCGAATCTACTGATCCTATAGACTTGATTGCAAGTTTCCTTGGTGTTTCCCCCAAGGACTCGATTGGCATCTGACTTTGAGCCGACATCCAGTGGCACCGGCCATTATATATGCTCCCATTATGAAATGCGAACTCATAGTCAGGGTCAAGAGCAGAGGACGCGCGAGACCATTCGATCTTATCGAGTACTTTGCTCAATCCATTTATTGCGGCACTGTTAAACATGTCGGTCTCAAAAGTTGAAATGTCAAGCCCCATTTCATTCCTCAGTGTCCTGGCCAGCCCAAAAATGATGCTGAAATTGGGGTCGCTACACTCAAGCTGGTTCATTCTTGTCACCCATATCATCCTCGACTTCCCTATTTTAGTTAGGTATGAATGAAGGGCAATATATTTTTCTTCGGATAGATTATGGAGATAAGGACTCTCCAGATCTAGAACTGAGACAATACACTGGCTGGTGGGAGGAGATTGATCCAGTCTGCCCCAATGCACTCGATACCCTATTTTTTCAAGGCTACTTGCAATTTTTTTGGTCCAGGGGCAAGGAGTGTCTCCCGTCAGGAGCGTAACGTCAGTCTTAGGAGAGGAAGAGGGCTTTACGCTTGACAGTATTGAAAAGGATGTTTGATGGGGAGCGTCGAAATCAAAACTAATTGCGTCTACTCCAGAAAACCCAGCCGTGTGGAGTTGTTGCTCCCACTGCTCGGGAGACAGGCCTGGCTGTTCGGGTTTATCATCATCACCCGACCGCCATTCCGGATGAAGCCCCTATTTGCCTGTTAGCTATCCACTCATTAACAGCCAACAAGTACTTGTTACATACCAGAATATAGCAGGTAGTTAATACTCCTAAATATAGAGCCTATGAGCCAAAATTCACAGAATTGTATGTGGTCTATCGTATATTCACGTACCTGGTTGCAATTCGTGTAATAGAAGTCGGCCACCAGGGGTAAGCAATTTGTATATATTCTTGAGAGCCACTTGAACTTGGCCCATAGGGGGAAGACCCTAGATAGTAAAAATTAGCCGGTTTTTTTTGGCCTTCAAAAAAAAAAAAAAAAAAAAAAAAAAAAAAAAAAAAAAAAAAAAAAAAAAAAAAAAAAAGCTACTAACGCTTGAAGCGATGACAAGATCGAAGCTATGAAGCTCGAAGTTCTGCTCCGCAGGATTTTTAGTTATATCTAGAACTTTGAGTTCGATCCCATCAGTGAACAGTGCTTTGGCCGCCTGCACGACATTGTCTGATGCGTCTGTGAATGTATAATGCGAGAACATCCGGGAACCTTCAGGCGACTGCAGATATTTCAACGCTACTTGAGTGCCACAACCTGTCCCTCCACCGATTTCCAGTATCCGCAAGGATGGATTGGAATGGGCAAGAACGGTTAAAAATTGACTCCAGTCACAGTGTGATTGAACAAAGCTCCGGTATTTTTCTAGGCAATCTATGGTTCTTTCAGGTAACTTCTGGCCTTGGAAGAACTTTTCACAGTTCTCATAAATGTGTTGCATGCATTCAGATGGAATAGAGCGATCTCCTCTGTCAGCATATCTAGATGACAGTGCTTTAATGCGGTGCTTGCGGCATTCAGAAGTCATTTGAATCAATTCATGGGCTTCAAGAGGCAGAGCGTCAGGAAGTTGGCGAAGACTTGAGGCTTTGGCAATTACCCAGCCCCTCCAATTATTTAGAGGAGATTCAATTGGGTCGAAACTGACGAGTTTATCTGCAGTCTCCAAGACATAGAGAATGCTTAGCTGCTCTGTATCACTGGCCATCACGCGATATATTCCCTGAGCTGATGGGCTGGGAAGTAAGGCTTGAGAAGGTATCGAATCGATATCTGGGGCCCACCGTATTTGAGAACACAGGGACGCATCAGGGGCTCCAAACTTAACGAATCCTTCCACTGGGAAACCGACGCAATCTTCGAAAGAAAGAACAAGTTTATCATGTTCTACCATCGTGGTTTGTCCAACCCAAGCTCCTTTTTTATTATAGGTGTACGCTGTTTCAACGCTGAGTTGAGATGAACTTCCTCGCACATAAATCTTTCCCAGGGATGCAGGAATTAGGAGATGTAAAAGACGAGGGAGGGCCTTAGCTATAGCTATTGGGAACATTTGGAGAGCATGGTCCATAGTGGCTGGATGAAGGGCATACCGGCTAACAGCCTTCTCCTTGAACTCAAGAACGTTTGCAGAAGCTTTGTTTTCTGTCGGATGGACAGTTATATCCTGGAAGCGCCTGAAATGAGGTCCGTAATTAAACCCAGCCCTCTCTACCATTTTATAGCACAAGTCGGTGTCGACAGGTCGGCTATGCGTCCGAATTTTATATTCTTCAGGAGGGTTTTCCGGGCCAGCCCTCACCTCTCCCTGGCAGTGTTTCGCCCAGCCGCTCCCATCATGCGACATGATTGTAAACGAATACCATTCAGAGTCAACCAGATCAGTGACTTTAACAGGTTTAAGGGCAGTGATTATTTCTGCTTCTCGTTCCCGCTTCAACAAAAGAGGTGATTTGATGAGAAGGTTCCTTATGGAATAATCATTAGTTTCGGGGTCGGGAAAGAGTTGACGAATTGCTTCTCCGACCATTGAAATATAGCCTGTAGCCGGGAATATAATATTTCCTTGGAGGGTATGATCAATGAGCCACGGTACGTCATCCAACCGTAAAACGTTCCTCCACAATGGCTCAATGTCTGAAGCCTCGACTGCCCGGCTACCGAGGAGTTCATGGTGAGGGTAGGCGCGGAATCGCCATTCATCTGTTAGGCGGCTAGAATACCAGTACTTATGGTCGTGGTTCCATGGATACGGCGGGATATTACCCAGTGTATTGCCTTTACCGTTCACAGACTCCAGATCAACAGAAACTCCACAAATGTGTGTAGCCCCAGCTGCAGACAGAAGTTGGGTCCGGGAATCAGTTTCACTTCTATCAAGCGTAGGAACGTATACAGGTGAATGCTTGAGACCATCAGTTTGGAAAATTTGGCGAAGAGGGCCTGCAAGAGCACTATGAGGCCCAATTTCAAGGAAAGTGGTTCGCTGTGCCCCTTGGAGGATGCTTTGGATGGCCCCAGAGAATAACACTGGGGATTCGAGGTTGCTACGCCAATATGCAGCGTTAAGATCCTGAGGTTGGGTAATGGTTTTGGAAGTAACAGTAGAGAAAAGAGGAAGCATCTTCTCTTCATGCCGGATGAATGGAGAGATTGACAATTCGTATTGTGCCCCAATTGCTCGCATATGATCTAGAATAGTTAGCAGGTAGTTATACAGTTTCAAACAGAGGGGAAAGTCTTACGAGAATGATAAGCAACACGCACGCGAAGCTCCCTGCAAAATGCATCTGGTAGATCTCTTTTGATTGAGTCCACTGCTTTCTGGAGGGTTGCTGCATCTCCTGACAGTGTCACACTACGAGGACTATTTTCGCAGGCGATAACAACCCCGTCTTCTAAGTATGGAGTGACTTGATCTCTTCCTAGGCCAACAGCTGCCATGGCGCCCTTCGTTGTCAATTCTTTTGTAATTTTACCTCGATAGTATGCTATAATTATAGCCAGTTCGGCAGTTATAGCACCAGCAGCATAAGCAGCCGTAATCTCTCCACTAGAATGTCCAACCACAGATGATGGCCTGATACCCCATCCATATAATACATTCACAAGTGCAATTTGGAGAGCAGTGCAAAGAGGCTGGGAGAACTCTGCCTCATTGACCCTGCTATCATTGCCAATTTTAACAAGCTCCTCTAAATACATGTTAGCAGATGAAAACCCAATTTACAATTGGTTGTTTTTACCTTCTATAGACCAGTTGGGGCCGTCTGATAAGTCCTGGAGGACCTTATCTAGAGTCTGTATGTCTTTCCTAGCGCCCGGGAAGGAGTTTAGCAAATCTTTTCCCATACCTGGCCATTGAGCACCTTGACCTGTGAAGACAAAGGCCAAACCAGAAGACTTATCCTGGCCAGTGTGAAAATCAACGGAGTTAATAGGTTGGTCCGGTTGTGCTATGATAAAGGCACGGCGTGGTAAATGCTCTCGGCGTACTCCTAGGGTGTAAGCTAAGTCATGCAGTTTTGACACGTCTTCATTTAGGTAATCAGTGACTATCTTAACTCGCTCTTTTAACTGATCAGAGTTCTTTGCGGATACAGTGAGGAGGCGAGGCCCACCGCATTGTGTAGGGTGCGGCTTTTTGGCCGTGACATAAAACGAAGCAGGTGACTCCAAAATAGTATGAGCATTGGCACCACCGACTCCAAAGCTGTTGACGCTGATTCTTTTGCTGCGGTGCTCTGGCCAGGGTATAGAATCCACCGGCACCTGAAGTTTTCCCTCTTTGAATGGGATCCTTGGGTTTGGTGATTCAAAAAACACGTTCGGTGGTATTGTATCGTTCTCAAGGGCCATTACCCCCTTGATAACACTTGAAATTCCCGATGCACCTTCCCCATGTCCAATATTTGGTTTTATCTGTGCACTTTCAGTATTATAATGCAACCCAAGACAGAAAGGGGCTCGACTCACCCCACCTATGTGAACTCCTTTCCCTTCAAAAACTTTAGCAACGACAGATGCTTCTATGGTGTCTCCAGCCATTGTGCCAGTTCCATGGCATTCGAAAAACCCAGTTTGGCTGATATCGTCAATCCCAGCCCTTTCATAAGCTCGTCGAACAAGCGCCTCTTGGGATTCAAAACCAGGAGTGGTGATAGTGGGCGTTTTCCCGTCAAAATTGACTGAAGTTGCGCGTATTATACCTCGAATTGGGTCATTATTTCGGATGGCTTCATCCAGAGTCTTGATGTAGAGAGCATTAATTGCTTCAGCCCGACCGTAGCCATCGGCTTTCTCATCAAATGTCTTGCACTTTCCAGTTGGAGACATGACAGTATTATCGGACATTGTAGTTGTCATAGTAGGTGCGAAGATTAAACTTGTGCCCGCAACCATAGCTGAGCAACATTCTCCAGAATAAAGAGCCTGACAGGCTTCATGTAAGCCAACCAAAGATGCTGAGCAACCGGTTTGAATTGTCATACTACAACAGTATTAGTTCTCGACGAAAACGAAAAAAAAAAAAAAAAAAAAAAAAAGAGTATGTGTCGTCAACGCTAATTACCCACCTTGGTCCCCGGAAATCGTACTGCCATGATAGCCTATTAGAAAGAGCAAACTGGCCGGTACCAAGAATATGGTAGCGGTTGGTGTATTGAGGGTCTTTGCTAGCAAGATCCAACCAATCTTCACCATAAACTCCGACATAGCAGCCAATATTTTTCCCTTTCCAGTCAGTTTCACCTGCGCTTTCTAAGCATTCCCAAAAGACCTCCATGAGTTTGCGCTGCTGCGGATCCATCTGCCCAGCCTCGTGACTATTGATAGCAAAGAATGATGCATCAAAGCAGGCCGGATCTTCGTCAAGGAAATAACCATGACGAGTTTTGACCATGTGGGTCTTGTTCTCACTGTAAAAGGAATCGATATTGTACCTGTTACCAGGAACCTCACAAATTCCATTTTTCTTTTCAAGTAACAGTCTCCAAAGTTCATCGGGAGATTTGACCCCTCCAGGTGCTCGCAGTGCCATTCCTACTATGGCAACTGGGGGGCAGCCTTCGTTTTTCGGGGTCTTCTACAAGAAGATCATGACATTGAGCTTGGATTCATCCAACAGAACATGTTTACATACCATTTGCCACCCACTGCCAGATGTTACGCTCTGTCCTTCTTCTGGCTCATTTTTATTGTGATTCAAGGTCACAGGTCGTGGTTGTGAGTCGATAATTGCAGAGCCTTCATTTTGAATCGCCATCTTGTCACAGTCGCAACAACGAAACACGCTTTGGGGTCGGGGAAAAATTGGTCAAAGGTAGAGAGTATGGAGAAGCGCAACGGATAAAGGTAGGCATATAAATGCTAGCTCTTTCTCCATCAAAAAGGTGTTAAGGAATGCCGGTCCACTTTGAAACGCAGAGGCCATAGCGTAGGTCAATGCCATAACGTGCTGTAAATTGAGAGTGGGCTTTATCTATTGGCTGCTGTCATTTGGCTCTTGGTGATCTGGTGTTTGCATGCAGCATCGGGAGAAAGTGAAGGACGTCCGCGGAAGCCATGCCTAGAGCGGCGAATCATATCAAGTGTCCAAATAATGGGATTGTCTGTACGAATAGTGCGACTATTTCTGGGGAATGGTTGATGGGGTGGCATCCTATTAAATATCCAATGCAGAAGCCCGGAACCATTACATCCACAGAAAATTGCCATTGGCGTTTTTGCGGTCGGATAGGGCAAAAATTGGACAGCAGTGTGGGCGAATTTTGAATCCGGCTGGGAGATCGAAAGTTTGATATCGTAGTTATTGTTGCTGAATTTGATGGGCTTGTTATTCCGTGAGCCCACTCAGCATGCCACTTTGCTTGTGCGCTTGTTGTACTCAGTATGGGCGGCATGCAATGATGAAATCGCTGCATCCAGAGAGGTGCATATTTGTAGTTTGAAACGAACTTCATGGCAGCTGCGCCGAGCATGCGTCAAGGAATAGCTGGTGAGGTTGGATATACGTGTTGAGTTTGTGGCTTAAATGGGCTGATCAACTGCTCCGTACGAAGTATGGAGTAGTCAACTAACTAGCTATTCAACCAGTTAGCCCCGCGTTATTGAGAAACAAATAATACAAAGCGCATGAAGCAAGTACTCCCTGAAGGAAAAGGTAATATTATAACAAGCAAGACAGTGGCATCTAACAGGTATCGCGGAGCCCCTTGCCCCTTGTTGAATCCGTTATCCACTCAGTCGCCGGCTCGCCAGGCCATATCCATATTGTCCAATCAGGTCACCATCCTTCAGAGAAGTACGAATGATTGTCAAACAACCGAAGCCTGGAGCAATAGTTTTATGGGTCGATTATTCTTCCGGTCACCATAGATCTGGATATAAGTTTGTTAAAGCTCAAGATCCAAGCCATGCTAGTGCACCACATGTTAAGAGGCCATCTAAAGTAGTGAGGGGACAAAAGCTCTCCTCGACCCATAACTAGTTAGTTAATTAGCATTGAGAAATTTTTGGGTTGCAGTTCAAGTAAGTAATAATGATTAATCATCGAGTCAAGATATCCTCAAGTTAGCACGCCAAGGCTAGAAGTTTCTCCAGTGAAGCGCAGCGTCCTGAGGCTGTCCTGCTCAGTTGCGACATAGAAGACTATTTTTAACAGGCAGCAGAAAAGACTGCACGCTATAAGTTGTGCTCCGTACTCTGTGTGGGCAGGGACAATATATACGTGTCTGTTTATATGAACGTCGAATTTGAGCTGCGGAAGGAGAGGAGATAAGCTTCGACATCGCTGAATAAGCAAGAAGTTGCATGTTTATTGGCTAAGATACGTTACTCAGCTTTGCTGTTTTAGCTAAAGCAGCGGCAGATACTCTTGAAATACTCTTGAAAGAGCGAGAGGTCTGACCGGTTCCGGATTGGTCTTATCACCACGTGAGGATAAGCATATATCAAACCTTAACTGATAGTGGTGAAAAAAAAAAAAAAAAAAAAATAAGCTAAAAAAAAATCAGCTTAACGGCAGCAAGCTCCTGCAACACCACCACGACCAATTCCAAGGCGCCTCATCAATATCCTAATCCTCAGGCAGGTTAATTGAACCTGGTTCAAAGCTTTATTGTGCCTCGCTATGAAATCCTAACTTTCTCCTTGTATCTACATCTCACGACGACATCAATATGGGGGGTAAAAGCGACGCCGACTGGTCTGTTGAATATGACACTCTTAGGCGTGAGCGGTTGTTTAGACACCCTCCAAAGGATAAAACCGCCTATCCTGCGCTTGCAGCTGCCATTCGCCCTCACATTGACTCTTTTAATGCCCTCTTTGAGGATACCAAGGTGTTGGAGGCAGCTCTGAAGGATATTGGAATAAAATCATTTATTGACGGGAGCTCAGAAACCCCAGAGGAAAAAGCCTCTCGACGAGAGGATGGAAGAAGGGCGCCAAAAAGAAACAAACTTAGCGTACGGATAACTGAGTTATTCCTAGAGAAAGCAGTTCTCCCTGCTTCAAACAAATACAGCACGCGCAATCGAGAAATCTACCCTGCCGAGTGTCGTGAAAGACATGCGACTTACCGAGGGAGGCTGAGGGCAAGATTAGAATATAGGATAAATAATGGAGAGTGGAAGGAGTCGGTTCGGGAGTTGGGCCAAGTTCCCATCATGATACGGGTATGATTGACCGTACAATACTGACTACGCATAACCCACTGGAAACTAGCTGACCTGGTTTTAGTCCAATCGATGCCACCTAGAGAAGGCTACCCCGTCTCAGCTGGTTGATCACAAAGAAGAGTCGGAAGAGTTGGGCGGCTACTTTATCGTCAACGGAAACGAAAAACTTATCCGGATGTTGATTGTCGGTAAAAGAAACTTTCCAACCGCAATCATCCGAAACTCTTTCCAGAAGCGTGGTTCGGCGTATACAAAGTTCGGTGTACAGCTGCGTTCGGTCAGGCCAGACCAGACTTCGCAGACGAATGTTCTCCACTACCTCAATGACGGAAATGTCACATTTCGATTTTCCTGGAGGAAAAACGAATACCTCGTGCCTGTCGTGATGATTTTGAAAGCCCTAATTGAGACCAATGACCGCGAAATATTTGAGCGGTTGGTCGGCAGAGAAGGTTCCTTGGGTATTGAGAACACATTCGTCACTGACCGTGTGGAACTTCTCCTGCGAACATACAAAGCATACGGCGTCCATTCTCGGTCAAAGTGCAGGGCCTATTTGGGTTCTAAGTTTAGATTCGTCCTTGGAATGCCAGAGGATATCCCAGAAGAGGATGTTGGTACTGAATTCTTAAGAAAGATCGTCTTGCCGCACTTGGGTAACCAGAACGTCACGGAGACCCAGGACAATGACAAGTTCAACATGATTCTGTTCATGATACGGAAACTCTATAACTTGGTCGCGGGAGATTGTGCGCCTGACAACCCCGATGCTGTATCTAACCAGGAGGTCCTCCTTGGTGGCTATTTGTATGGCATGCTTCTGAAAGAGCGACTGGAGGAGTGGTTAAAATCGGTTGGCCCCATGGTGCGGGACTGGAGAATGAGAAATCAAGATGCCAAATTCACAGATCCCAAATTCGAAAGGGAATTCCTTACAAGGATCATCGGGAGAACGAATGAAAACATCGGTGGTGCTATGGAATATTTCTTGTCCACGGGGAACCTGGTGAGTCCTACTGGACTCGATCTTCAGCAGCCATCGGGCTACACGGTAATGGCAGAAAAGATCAACTTCTACCGATTTATCAGTCATTTCCGAATGATTCACAGGGGAAGCTTCTTCGCACAGCTGAAAACTACTACGGTTCGAAAATTATTACCGGAGAGTTGGGGATTCCTTTGCCCCGTCCACACCCCCGACGGAAGTCCCTGTGGTCTGCTGAACCACTTGGCACATAAATGTTTAATATCGACGTCAAACCTGGATGTTTCTGGTATACCTGGAGTTCTTGCTGGGCTTGGAGTGACATCAGAATCGTCATGTTCAATCGAGGAGAGTATCCCTGTCCAGCTAGATGGAAAGATTCTAGGATACTGCACACCAAAACAGTCTCGTGCTATTGCTGATACCCTTCGATACTGGAAAGTCCAGGGCCACAAGCAAATTCCAGTAGAACTTGAAATTGGTTACGTTCCCAGTTCGAATGGTGGTCAATATCCGGGTGTTTACATGTTCTCAGAAGCCGCTCGTATGTACCGACCAGTTAAATATCTTCCTCTAGATAAATTGGACTATGTCGGTCCATTCGAGCAGCCCTACATGGAAATTGCCTGCGTTGCTTCTGATATTAGGAACGGTGTTTCTACCCACATTGAGTTTGACCCTACTCACATCCTCTCTATTCTCGCCAACATGACCCCATTCTCTGATTTCAACCAGTCTCCACGTAACATGTATCAGTGTCAGATGGGTAAACAAGCAATGGGAACACCCGGCACTGCCATCGATTACAGGACAGACAACAAGCTCTACCGACTACAGACTGGCCAGACGCCGGTCGTCAGGCCGCCTCTGTATAACGCCTATGGACTGGATAATTTTCCTAACGGCATGAATGCAGTAGTTGCTGTTATTTCATACACAGGCTATGACATGGACGACGCTATGATAATTAACAAATCCTCCCATGAGCGCGGGTTCGGCTATGGAACCATTTATAAGACGAAGATTTACGCCTTGGATGATAAAGAATCACGAGGACGAGGGAAATCCAAGCGAGCAATCACCAAGCTATTTGGATTCGCGCCTGGCGGGTTGGTCAAGGCGGAGTGGAAAGCTCAGCTTGATGAAGACGGACTACCACATATTGGAGCCAAGGTGAGCGAAGGCAGTCTGGTGGGTGCTTGGCACACTGTCCAATATGATCCAGCAACAGACACGTACATCAATGTTGACAAGCAGACGCACTTCCTGAAATACAAAGATGGAGAAGAAGGATTCATTGATAGCGTCAGAGTACTTGGATCAGAGACTGGAAATGAGGTGTGCCAGGCCATCAGCATTAAGTACAGAGTACCCCGTCGGCCAGTGATTGGTGACAAGTTCTCATCTCGTCACGGTCAAAAGGGTGTCTTGTCCCAACTCTGGCCAGCAACTGATATGCCATTCTCCGAGTCTGGAATCCAACCTGATGTCATCATTAACCCACACGCTTTCCCATCTCGAATGACGATAGGTATGTTTGTCGAGTCGCTAGCTGGTAAAGCTGGCTCACTACACGGCCTGCCCCAAGATTCGACCCCC